CCTCCTCTTGAACCAGCCGCTGTTGTCCAGAGGCCACATTCGACCAGTGAGCCAGTTTTGCCACGATTGGATGCATGGGATCTTGCAAGGCAATGGCCCTGTCGTCCTCTTCCAGACCATGGAGACCATTGGCATGGCAATGGGTTTCAATGCTTGGGATTCCATGGAAAAGTACATCCAGCTCTGGTCCTGTCCAGGGGCTTCCAAAGCAGGGCACCTGAAAGCTTTGTTTTCCTCCAGGATGGTGAGCAAACACCAGGCAAGTTATAAGTTTTCCTGCCAGGCCAGCGACCTCTTGAGTATATTCCCCATTGTGCGGCATTATCTCCACACCATGGTTATGCCGGTGGGCGGCTGCCCCATTAAGGCCTGCGAGGCATTCTTGGCCCATGCAGACCTGCTCGACCAGGTGCACCAAGGAACCATGTATGGGGCCACTACCAGGGCAAGCCTACTACCAGCTGCTGAGTTGGCCATCCAGAGTTTCGTGGAAGCCAACTTCGGAGTTTCCTTAATAAAGAAGTGGCACTGGCTTCTGCACCTGCCTGATTTCTTGGAGAGGTATGGGATGTTGCCAAGCACTTTCACCACTGAGCGCAAGCACAAAACCATTGCCAAGTATGCCACCAACTTGCAGAAGACCACGGCTTTCGAAAGCCATTTGATGCAGCAGGTCGTGGCCACGGAGATCACCACTTTGAAGGAGCCAGGTCTGCATCCGGACACCTGCCAGCTGCTGAAGCCAAAGAAAGCTACCAAGCAGCAAGTCCAAGTCCTCCGCGACTTCGTGGATGGCCCATTGAACGAAGCCATGGTTGCTTCGAGTGCGAAGCTTGCCAAAGGTGGCACCATTCATGCCCACGATGTGGTTGTCTTCCAGCAGCAAGACGGACGTTGGGAAGTCGGCCAAGTTTGGTTCCACTTGGAAGTGGGTGCTCAACAGGTCACACTTCTCCAGCGGTGGACTCCCACGGTGAACAAAGCATCCCACTCTGCGAAATGCACCATCGCGAACGAGCAAGGCTTCGTTCCCATCGACTCCATCCAGTACCCACTGCTGTATAGTAAAGCCTCAGACCAAGAGGCCACGGTGCTCATCCCGTACCAGCTCAACTGCAGGCTGTAAAACATCCATGCTTCACCTATTGAGTGCAGGTTTGGGTTTCGCCCTGATCATCGTGCCTACCTAGAGATTTGGACTTCCAAAGGGGGGTTTAGGGTTCGTTTTCATGCATGGTTTCTATAAGCTTTCAGCTGATGCCTTTCTCATTCTTTTTTGTAAAAGGCCCTCTTGCTCACAAGATATCCATGACACCGCCTATATATGGCCAGCTACATATGACATATAACCCATGTGAAAGCCTATATGGCCAGCCGATTTCCACATAGCTCCCATACTTCATGGCTGTTCCATCCCATATATTTAGTGTAAGTCTTTGCCACGAAAGCCACACCCAAAAACAGAGTTATAACTAGTTAGCTAACTCCACCTAACTAGTTATAAAAAATTACTTAACTCATGTTAACCAAGATAACTAGTTATAACACAGCGAGGATTCCAAGTAGGGCTCGCAGCACGAAAACTTACTCCTGAGGGTGACGGTAGAACCGTTTCAGAGGCATTGAAAAATGCGCATTGTATGGTTTGATGCAGAGCCTGCAGTTGCATTGGGCCCTACAAAAAGCAGATGAGTGCTCCGTGACGCGCGCGCATGTGTGAACGAACTGCGTAGGACATATTCTCAAACTAGCATCTTCCACCCAATTTCAAAGTCCCAAGCGCGAAATCCTGAAGCAACAGGCTTGCCGTGGCCCCGGAAGCATATTCATCACTTCTAGCACCTTCATTAATTACAGCCCTTCACAGAGTCCTCATGGAAACCCTATTCGTTCATGTTGCCGTAGAAGGGTTCGGGATTTAGATGCTGATCTTGACCAAGTATGAACTTCAAAACAGTGTAGTCAGCTGCGGGGTTTAGGGTTCGGCCCTACGCTAGCCTTCAACCCGAAACCTAAATCCCACCCGTAGCGCTCAAAACCCGTGTTAGGGGCGGCTAGCCGCGCTTTTCAAAGGCAGGGGCTTTAGCTTTCCTAAACCGGACAAGGCTGAGGCGAACAGCACGAGGTTGGAATTTGACAGAGCGGCAATAGTACGCTCCGAGTGTTGGAATTCAAAGGTTTCACCAGGCCCCCCCCCCCCCCGCAAGCTCCGTACTTCCTATGAATATAATAATATAAACATTCCCACACCTTCCATCTGGAGTCTGGTACTCTTCCGTCCAAAAAGGGCTCAGCTCGAGGCTTCTGGATGTCTTCGGCCTTCTTGGCCTTTTCTTCCTCGGACGGATGTGCCTCAGGTCGGCTTAGGCGCATTGGGCTGCAGGGATTGTGTCTTGGTCCCTGACGGTTTTCTAGAGTTTCACGTCAAGCATGTTAGCGGCAAGGGTTTAGTCAGTCAGGGCTTGTTGCCCAGAGGCGTAACAGGCTCCTCATCCAAATGGCAGTGTGCTGTATAAGTTGCGGGTTAAGGCTCTCGCACGTGGTGGTTGGTAGGACCCAAGGTTTTAAAGCTTACACCGCACTGCTTTTGGACACGCTGTGCTCTACAACCCGTCGGACGAGCACATACTCATCACTCATCGCTGTCGAATTACGGTTTACTGACTCTAAACCCGAGACGGAGCAACTTACACCTTCTTCAAACATCCCCGAGCCATCAGTGCAAAACTGCTAGACTGCTAGACTGTCGATCCTACCAGTCATTGACGGCCTCCCCGGTCCACTCTGCGCACCACATCTCCAAGTTCGAAGACATCCTTGCATATCCACACCGGAGGCGTTTGTACAGCGGCACCGATATAATGCTCCCTATCCCTGCCCTCAAGCTCAAATGCAACGGACAGCAGCGAGCCAGAACCTGGAAACATCTGGAATCTGGAACCCTGCTTGTGCCTTGCTGTTCAGAAGGCTGAGAATAAGAAATGTGGGCTTTGCAAAATCGCAGCCCGTAGAGCTCAAGCTAAAAGCCCCGAGCTGTTCACGTAAATCCTGTTATATCCTGTTAACAGCCCTCGGCCCCCAAAACCCAATCCTGAACGCCAGAACCTCAGTCCAAAACCACGAGACTGATTCAAGTTATTCACTGTTAGGCTTGTCTGATTTCCATGCTCCACCGATTACAGGCTCCCTTCAGTTGAGGGTGTGGAACTATCATGTTATGAACCCGTACTGAGGCCGATGCATGTGTGACGGGAGAGAGCGTTCTCCCAACAGCTCACAGCAAAAGGATGCAATCGAGAGATGCATCCAACTTGAGATCTCAGAGGTTTGATGTAAGATGTTCAACTTGCGGAACCCAAGCCGAAGGAACACACTAAAGGAAACCAAAACCTGCGGATTTTCCCAGACCACTTCAAATTTCGAGAAAACGTTCGGAACCCGAAATCTTAAAGCCTCAAAGCCCGCGCCGAGCATCTCTGCGTGGAGAGCAGTGAAAGCAGGAAACAGGTTGACGCTCTGATGCACCAGGGGAGCTACGAGGAAATTGATGAAACCTTGGAATATCGGAAATGTGGTCGAGGGCCTTTGAAGGTTAGTTCTGGTCGTCAGGACATTGTCTTTGAAGTTCAGTAGTCTGTAAGCCGTGACTGGGACTCGCCTCTCTTGACCGACAGTATATGGGAGTTTCCGAAAATAGGGGTACCTTATTTTGGGACCCATATAAAAAGGATCCTCTTATTTAGGGTACTATATTAGGGCCCCCTATTTTCGGAAACTGCCATATAGGCCCAGAGATCCGAAGCACATCTATCGCAATACTCACGTGAGGTGACCCCTGACACCTTTTGTACGTATCCGTTTTTTCCTGAACGGTGGAGGTGCAGGGCTAAAGTATCTCAGCGTAGTCGCTGTTGGTGGTGATGGATACCCCCCTCAACTCCGCCCTCACCATTTCATCCTTCTCCGTCCTGCATCCCAACCACTGAGTGTGACATTTGTTCGCAGAATGCACGTGTACGCTTTTTTCCTCACTATGGGATTCTTCATTACATCCAAGGCAGGATTAGATTAGAGTGTGGAGGGTATATTCTGTTCGACGCAGCAAACTTGTAGAGCATTGTAGAGGGACGATAAAGGGATACTGGATGCTACTACGAATGCTTCGGAACTCTATATCAAGCCCTAGCCAAAACACAAAGCCACATTAGAAGTCCGAGACACCATGCTGCGATCCCGGTCGGTTGACCTGGCAGGGGCAGCGGCCATGCTCAACGTCTTACTTCCGCAAAGCTCCAAGACATGAATTAAAGGTTATGATGCGATGCTGTGAGTATTCTGCGCAAAGATCACAGGAAGCCCCGGAAAGCTACAATGCTGGGGACTGAAGAATCAGTGGCGTAGGGCTCCCTACACCTTACAAAACGAAGCTCAGACTACCGCCTGCAATCGGGATTCCTATGTCGGAGCTTTTGAGTGGATCAATTCAAGAAACCCACCCTGGCGTTGTATAGTTTGAGTAAGCCTCCTGTTGCAAGCACTTCCTGACTTTTCGGTCGGTGTTTGTCAAGCCGGCTCTTCAAAAACCGTACTTCCTGTTCCATCTCTTTGCGTGGCAGACATGTCGGACGGTGTACCAGGACTGCTTCACCTTGGAGCTGTGGGAACAGCGGGAGCGGAAGTTCTCGGATTAATTCTTAAAGCCGGACCTCGAGCTCTTCCAGTCTTGTCCATTCTCATGGACAAAGCTTCTGAAGAGGGCTTGTGATGCAGATGTTTTGGAGGTCTCAAGCCCAGTGAGACTGAGAGGTTGCCAAGAGATATTCTAAAATCCACCCATGCGTAAACCCTCAAACATCCATCAGAGACGTATAGAAAACCTACAACATCGACGAACACTCGCCCTGAGCTACCACAGCACGACATGCGTGTCAATCGCCCTCAACCCTGCGAGCATTTCACGTTCATTCTCGGCGTGGTACCTCGGAAATTTTCAACCCCAGCTACACCTTGTCTCGATCGTTCAGCATGCCGACCGGCAGTCCTAATCTCTTCTCCTCGTCCTCGGCGGAGAGTAATTAGGCGGATGTGAGGCTTGCTGCTGAGGCTTTCTTGCAGCACAGCGCAAACTTCTCCTTCTATTTCTTTCCCACTCTTCTAGCTTCGTAGTGAGAGGATGCCCAGGAGCTGAGGGTCTGCGTGCACGGCCGCGATAGCTTGAACAAGACGAAATCAGACGCAAATGTAATTCCAAACTGGGGGCAGCATTGCTTCACGATGCCCAGTGCTTGCCAGCTCGGACTCGCGGGGGGCTCTTACTTTTGGCTTTAGAAGTGTTAAACAGGCCTGCGTGCTTGATGATTACGGCGAGCTGGGGTACTGCGGAAAAAACCATAGGGCTCCCTTTTGATTTGGAGTTTCATTTTGGCTTCGGATGTGAGCTCGTGAGCTCAGGAGCTTCACTTTGCTAACAGAATCCTTTGAAGTCCTTCCCAATAACTACCTCGCCTGCCGGCTTCGGTCATATTGAATCCTTGCAGAAGCTTGTTATGACTGTCATGAGAAAGCCGTCGATGAGCAACCCATCTCGAGCCGACCACCCGCAAATTCTCAAACCCTGAACCCTCGATCTTGTTTCAATGTAGGGCAGGCTCGGAGGCCCCTTAGTTTAAACAAGGCCCCGAGGTTTGGGGGTTTAAGGAACTTGGAGTTTTCTGCTCATCCCCGCAAAAGGGATAACACAAAGGAAGGGCCGGAAAAGGCGAGGCACACCCTGGAGGAAGAACTCGTCCAGCACACGGTGGGCCCACGCTCTTGAGAGCTGAAAAGGCTTCAGAGGGTTGGAGACGTCCTCGGCATCTATGTAACGGCTGGTTATACTAGCAGTACCAGCACAAGAGCCACATAGCAGGGCATGGGCAGTATGCCAACGATGCCACAATGCCGGAAATAGGTTGCGAAATTCCTAGCCGAGGAATGCCACAGATTCCGTGCAGAACGCTGTCCCTAAGCCCAAACCCTGCTTATTCCAACTAGGTGAATGAATTGCCGGTTGAGAAGCTGAGTTGGGGTTGAGGGTTTCGGACTTATGGTTCAAGATTCACATTTCGGGGTGAGGGCCTGGAGTTCGCAGCTTATGGGCTCAAGGAGGGTTCAGGACTCAGGAACAGGAAACCGAAGAGCCTCCTCATGAATAGAGCTTGGACTATGTAAGGCTCTCGCCGTGTTCTAAATCGTTATATGCGGCTAATCACTTTAAAGTCTGGGAAACTGCACTGGTGCTGCATGCGATCGTGCGGCAGCCAGGTGTAGGAAAAGCTCCAGCCAAAGCAGCCTCGAGTGTCCCAGGAGGTGCGGTGCTTAGGACTCCAAGCCTCAATTTAGCCCCCTTTTACGGTTTTGATCATGGAAGAATGACAATAAACACATAGATATATGCATACTTACATACCTTGCGGGCCAAAAGGCCATTCCCTGAAGTTAGCATTATGGGCTGAGCAGTCGGGGTGGGGTTGACTCCTTAGTTGGGTCATTCTATAAGCAATCCACGATGTTTCCTTCGCCCCGGGGTACCTCGGAGGATCCTCGAAAACTTGCTTTTGCGTGGACTGTCTACCTAGTTATGATTCTTATGCACCTTCTTGCTTTCATGCAGTTGCAAGACCAAGAGGGTTTAGGCCTGGAGGCTTGGCACTTAGAGAAACCGTTGCATAGCCTTTGAACTTGCCAAAACAATTACTACTACCCTGCAACAACTCCTGTAGGAAACTCTTGGATTGGAGGCGTCGCCAGGAGGCTTGTTGGGCTCCAAGACTTTCAGCCGATAGTCTTGGCACAGAACCTTTTCAGCCTCCGTTCCGAAGCCTCCGCCGCGGTCACGACTTTCGGAGCTGGACTTCACTTTCACTCTGGGAGAATCACACCAAACATCAATCTGCCCGAAACTCAATCTATACGGTTTAAGCCTGAGCACCACGTTGTTCCAAAACCCCGCGGCAAGGCTTCCGTACAGCCACCCGGCATTCTAGGACTCTCTTGAAAGCAGATGCGGGGCCTGCTTGGGCTTCGCAGCTGGCATCCTGAGCGCAGGGGACTGGGGCAAGCAGAGCTCATCTTTCCCTCCCGCTTTCTAGGGTCAGAGTTTAGGTTCCGGTCCATAGCAACAAGGCAAACCCAACAATGGCTCTTGGCAACAGTTAAACAGACCACTGGAGCGCGTCGACGTAGCCAGTGTCCCCACCGTACGTTGCTACAGGCCGGTCAAACCGTAAGCCCCTAAACCCAAAGCCCTGAATTACTAAACCATAATACACCCCCTAAGTTCCCCCCTCAAGCAAAAAACGCGCCTGTGACTCGTAGACCTGGCTCACGTCCTTGACCATGGCGAAATGGTTCGCGTTGTCCTTTCCAGGAAGCATACAGGCAGGAGGAATGGGGTGAAGGTGCTTAGGGTATGTGGGGTGTGTGGGGCTTAGGGTATAGGCGAGGCTTTATTAAGGGGTTGATAGTATATGTACGGTTTACACTGTCCACGTGCGCGAAGTGGTTCTCCGGTGCAAGGTTCTGGAGGCTGCTACTGCATTTCAAGAGCACGCAGAACACGAAAGTACAACGCACGGAAGGACAGAAAGACTGCTTGCGCGTGGCAATGGCGGGGCGGAGCATCGGTATTTTGTCGTCAGCATCACAGTTTCCGACTGTTCCGGAGCTCATTGAATTCGCTGCTTAAGGGCTTAACGGGTGAGAACTGGAAAGTTGAATCGCCAAGGCTTCTCAAGTTCAACAATCTCAAAACCAACCCCAAGACAATTCATCTCCACAGCCTTTTTATGCCTGGTCTTGATGAAGGCCAGCACTCCACAGAGCACAGGACCAAGGACTCTGCCCAGGCACCAGCACAGCGGGAAAAGAACATGACACGTGAACAGCTGCTGAATCAAGGCCTGCAAATCGAGAGTACAGTACTCACCCAGTCACTCACCCTGAAACTGAGACCACGAGCATGCGATATCGTGCCTAGATCCCACGCCTTTCATGTTTAGGGACGAGCAGAATGCTGCTGTTTTGGCTTAGGGTTCCCTTGGTATCTCTGAGACCCTAGGCTTTGCGGCAGAAGCGGCGGTATGAAGAATGGCAGCCACGGCGACTTTCCGTGCCTCCTTGTATAGCTCCTCCCAGGGGTGGGGGAAAATTTGAACAAGACAAAACCCAAAACACTCCAAGCCCAAAGCATGTCGTGCGATCCGTCGATCGATTTCCGAAGTCACCCTAGTTATTTTGACTAGCAAAGCCCCCCCAATTCTATCCGAAATGCTTTGGCTTGCATTGTTGCCTGCTTGGACTAGGTCCACTAGGTCTGTGCCCAATTCGGTTTAGAAAGGTACTTGGCAGCACAATCACTCCGAGCTCGAAGCCTGTGCAATTCCACATCCCTACTCAGTGTAGAAAGGTAGGGTGGAGTTACAGGTTTAGGGTCCATCCTATCCAACACCTATATATATATATATATATATACACACACACACGCACACTCTGGCGGTCGAGTCCTTGCTAGCTTTCCCGAAAGCGTTCTTCGAAGGGTCTTGGCAGATTTGAAACCTGACGGGTGTCGTGCCAAGCAAAAGAAAACACATTTCTGGGATTGTGGTGTGCAGTTCTGGAGTATGGCTGTCGAACCCGAAGCATTTGGCAGTGGCAGGTAGCATTTGGCGTGGGCCTGGGGTCTTCTTCAAGCCGCATAACACGCCAAGCTGCGAGAGTGTAAACGACTTCACATGCACAGTTTATTCGTGCACATAACGTATGTACACCAGGGGTGTGCCTAGCGACATTATGCTCTAGCTCAGAGCTAACCTGCCACCTTGTCTCTACGCTTCTAAACCCTGAGCCAGAAGATCGAGGCTTTAAAATGGAACATAGAGCCCAGACCCAAAGACCTTATCCAAAATGGCTAAACTAGATACCCTGAAGAGCGGAACTTAAAATGAAGACTCGTGAAGATTTCGGGGGGTCAGGATTTACGATCTCGCAACTCGGGCAAGGGTTTAGGGGGTGGTTTTCTGCACGGCTCATGCCGACCCGACAGGGAGCTTTGCATTCGACAAATGCATAGTTCGTAGTTTCTTTTTTCAGGCACTGCTTCAGGCACTGCGGTTTGGGAGCCAGTCGCCATGAATCAGCTTTTCCACCAAACTCTGAAACCAACCCCCGATGGAGTTCGAAGTGTCTGTATATGGGTGGTTGTCAAGATCAGGGCCCCTTTTTGGGTTCCCTAACTATTAGGTGCCGTATTATATTAGGGACCCAAAAAGGGACCATATCTTTGACAACCACCCATACACAGAAACCCCTATCTAAGTCCTGAAACCCGGCCCGAAGAGCTGGCACCCTGAAACCGCTGAAGCTGTCAGAGTCTGGGACCCCCAACACTCGCCAAGTTTTAAGGTTGCAACAGACAAGTAGGTGGGCGGGATTTTGCGATTAGGGGATATGGGAGTTTCCGGAAATTGGGGATACCTTATTTCGGGGTCCTTACAACAAGGATCCTACTATTTAGGGTACTATATTTTTTGACCCGATTTTCGGAAACTCCCATATCTGAAAAGGCCAGGGGCAGTTTGGCACAATGCATGTTCTCTAACGGCGACTTGTCGTTGTAGCGAATCGCCAGCTCATGCCCCGTTTCCACGAGGAAAGGGTTTGTCCTCGGTTGAGTTCGGGGCTCTTCGGAGCTTACCTTTCGGGTTCGGATCTCGGGGCTTAGACCGTGGAATCTGGGGGGGGGGGGGTGGCGTTTCAGGGTTTAGGGTTTACACATGTCTAGAATCTAGGGCTTTTCTAGTCTCCGGAGCTCAAGGTTTGGTTCGGTGCCAAAAGTTTGGGGCTACCCGCAACATCAGTCACTAGAACCCAGTAGAGCAATCCTTATATCCTTACATTGCCTTCTATGGTAGCTCGTATTGAGAAAATCTTGTGGTGACACCTATCGTAAGCAGAGGCAGGGCCCGGGATTGTGATGATGTTGTGAGCTTTGAGATTTGGATCTCTCTCTCTCTCTCTCTCTTCCAGCGGGTCTAGCAGTGCCAGGCAACTCGTGAGGCTGAAGCCCTTCAGGCCCTTCACGAAAACGAAACCGCAAGCCGCCCCTCAAGCTGAGATTTGGTTGTATTTGGGTATTGAACTAAGATGCCCGAGGCTTTGGAGAACAAGGGGCTATGTCAAGCTTGATTTGGATTCGAACCTGAGGTCGCACCTCATTGCTACCTTGAGGCCGCCTTCCGGCTGCTTCACCCTCGCACAAGTCGCTATTTCCACACCGAGAAAACCATGCAGAATCAGTTGTTTTCACGGAATCTTAGGGTCAGGATAGGGTCGGGGACTCCCCCGCAGAAGGCAAGGTCGCTGGCGCCCAGGTCAGGGTGCTAGGGTGCTAACGTAGTGTATCGTACAGGTAGCTTTTGGTGTATGGTAAAGATGCTCTGTATGCAATTAACCTGGCACAAACTGGTAGATGTGCTGCTGATTGCAGGTTGTTGACGTGACAATGCTGGTGACGGATCAAGTTTTGTTGAAGACTGCTTGCTTGCCGATCCCAAACCAAGTCGCAGATTAGGTTAGCATGAAGGAGACTGCTGGGGACGCGGCCTGCCAAAGTGCCCCATGTCGTGGCACAGCGCAGATACTAGCAGCGCATACCTCAGAAGCGGCCTAGATATATGGGTAGCCTGATCAGCAGTGTTATCCCTGGTAGATTATAATGCTTAGGGTTGGGCACCCCCGACCCAACTCAGAGCTCCGAGTCCTAAACAATCGTAAACCCGCCTATGATACCTCCTCGCTTAACCTGGAACCCTAACCCGAAAAGAGCCTAAATCCTAGGCCCAAAACCGGAACCCAAAAGCCTTCAACCTGAACCTTGAACCCCGAAAGGTTGCAACCCACTGAACTCAAAGTGCCATGCTTAGGATGCAGACTGCTCGAAAGTTTCGGGCCTCATAGTTTGAATTAAGGACCACAAGACGCCGGATTAAAGTTAGGGGTTTACGCTCTCGCAACTCGGACAATCCAGACGAGGTTCTTGGTCGGCAACTGAGTAAACTAGAGTGCTCACCCGACGGCTGAGGAAACACAGCGACAACAAAAAGGTAGTGCCACCAATGACGAGCCATCAGGGGAGGACACAAGCCCCGCACATTGGAGAGGCGGAGCACCCACGCATTCCCTGGAAAACAGCGCAACAAACGGTAAGGCCATGTACTACGGAATGCAGGGGTCCCCCACAAGAAAACTAGCATACAGGTCATACAGACTACGGCTGCCTCACATACCAAAATAGAGAGGACAAAGGGGAGACACAGTACAGGTGAAACTCATGACATGCAGAATACTAAACGATTTCCCTAAACGAGTCAATTAGCTGAACAAACATGCATCTCAAGGAGGAGCCCTGTACATCGCGCCTCACATGTGGGCTGCACTGTACGCAGAAGTGCAAGTACTACTGCCCATGCTCTCAAGCTCACATCCGGCAGACTCACTGTTTAGGGAATCGGATTGAAGGGCTTATTGGCAAATTGGGACTAGTTCTGCCGACAATCACCGCTCACACATTCAGATCTGAAAGCACCCTGTCGCAGCCAGAAATCCAAGGACCGGATTTAACCCCAAGAACCAAAACCCGATGTCCTACAATCTCAACCCCACATCAACTCCAGTATAGTCCCTATACAGTATTCAGTACCCCTATATTACTTTTAGATGTAGCCCCACCCTACTCAAATCATGATTGTCCGACCTTAGCAGCCTTAGCAATCGACACGCAATGAAATCCGAGGCACTGCTCTGCTGGAGTCAGCCACAGGCGCGACGCTGCGAGGCTCATAAGCCGGAAGACCTTGAATGTCAATGTTTTAGTTGCCATGTTGGAATTTTCTTAGCCACCTGGCACTTATGCACACATCATCTGCATGAAGGTCTTATGATATAGGCGTTACACACCAAGTCACCAATCAGGCTTTGTGGTTGCGGGTTGTAGGAGTTTACGGTTTATAGGGTTTCGGGGTTTGTAGCGCGTAGTGCAGCCCCATAGACACAACTAAAGCCAAAACGCCCTACACCGCCGGCACTACACTGCCTTCCGTACCTCCGCCCCAGGCTCTGACACATGGCTCAAATCCTGCGACTCCGACTCTTTAATACGGCAACTCCATGACCCTCAGATGTTGAGCACTTGTGGGCTTGGGGTGCACCACTGATGCACAAAACTCCTGCGTAAAACAAACAGTATAGCACGCTTCCCATCATTTAGGGTACTATGATGCACGGCTTTCTCCAGCAAGCATGGATTTCTTTGTGTTTTGTCGATGCCTGAAATCGTGCCGTTGTTCTGCTACAGACGTGGGTGCCATATAGGGGTTTGCGTCTGTTCTGATCCTTTGCGTTTCGCCGTTGCACGGTTGTACCATCGCCGTCAGTCAAGGCTGTGAGGTTTCGAACAGATCATGCAGATACATGCGAGTGAGCCCAAAATCTGATTCTCGAACCCTCAATCAGTTTCAACCCATAAATCGTCTCTTTCTATGGAGAGCGCCGATTCTGGTCTCCGTCTGAGATCGCAAGAACAAGGAGGTACAGTGGGTGACGACCCTGAAGCAGAAACAATGACATGCGGCGTGGAAGGTCAGGTCCATGAGATATGCTTCGTGGACATCCATTCGCACGTAGAAGCCACGAAGCAGAAACAAGTATAACGAACCCTCTGAGCTTGGAGGTAGGAAGCCCTACTTGATAAAGAAGCGCGACCCTGGCGATTCCACGAGATAGGAGAAGGGCCCGTCCCACCGACAGCCAAGTCAAAACAAGACCAGCGGGCCCACGGGCTCACGGGCCAGCGGGCCCACGGGCCCACGGGACGATGCACGGGCCCACGGGCCCACGGGCTCACGGGCCAGCGGGGTCAGGGGCCCACGGGCCCACGGGCTCACGGGCCAGCGGGCCCATACACGGGCCCACGGGCCATGTATGTATGTATGTATGTATGTGTGTATGTATGTATGTACGTATGTATGTATGTGTGTATGTATGTATGTGTGTGTGTGTATGTATGTATGTATGTAGGTATGTATGTATGTATGTATGTGTGTATGTATGTTTGTATGTGTGTGTATGTATGTATGTGTATGTATGTGTATGTATGTATGTGTGTGTATGTATGTAGGTATGTATGTATGTATGTATGTAGGTATGTATGTATGTATATATGTATGTATGTGTGTATGTATGTTTGTATGTGTGTGTATGTATGTATGTGTATGTATGTGTATGTATGTATGTTTGTATGTGTGTGTATGTATGTATGTGTATGTATGTGTATGTATGTATGTGTGTGTATGTATGTAGGTACGTATGTATGTATGTATATATGTATGTATGTGTGTATGCATGTTTGTATGTGTGTGTATGTATGTATGTATGTGTATGTATGTATGTGTATGTATGTAGGTATGTATGTATGTATGTATATATGTATGTATGTGTGTATGTATGTTTGTATGTGTGTGTATGTATGTATGTGTATGTATGTATGTGTATGTATGTAGGTATGTATGTATGTATGTATATATGCATGTATGTATGTATGTACGTAAGTAAGTATGTATGTATTTATGTATGTAAGTATGTATGTATGTATGTAAGTATGTATGTATGTATGTATATATGTATATATGTATGTATGTGTGTATGTATGTATATATGTATATATGTATATATGTATATATGTATATATGTATATATGTATATATGTACATATGTATATATGTATATATGTATATATGTACATATGTATATATGTACATATGTATATATGTATATATGTATATATGTATATATGTATATATGTACCTATGTATATGTAAACGTGCATGCATGTATGCATGTATGCATGTGTGTATGTATGCGTGTATGTATATATGTATGTAGGGGGGTGGTAGGATTTCTGATTTTAAAATCAGGGGCGCCCCATCAGTCCAAGGCTCCATCCTCGGAGTTCAGGGGTGGTAAGAGTTCTGATTTTAAAGTCAGGGGCGCCCCATCAGTCCAAGGCTCCATCCTCGGAGTTCACGGGTGGCAAGAGAGTTCTGAGTTTAAAATCAGGAGCGCCCCATCAGTCCAAGGCTCCATCTTCGGACTATGTAAATGCATATATGCTACGTCTGTAAATATTTGTGTGCATGCATGCTTGCAATTGTATATGTGCATACTTTTATGTACATATGTATATGTGTGAGTAAATGTATGTGCATTTGTGTACATGCTTGTGCATATATGTATATATGCATATATGTATATATGTACATATGTATATATGTATATATGTATATATGTATGTATGTATATATGTATATATGTATGTATGTATATATGTATATATGTATATATGTATATATGTACCTATGTATATGTAAACGTGTATGCATGTATGCATGTATGCATGTGTGTATGTATGCGTGTATGTATATATGTATGTAGGGGGGTGGTAGGATTCCTGATTTTAACATCAGGGGCGCCCCATCAGTCCAAGGCTCCATCCTCGGAGTTCAGGGGTGGTAAGAGTTCTGATTTTAAAGTCAGGGGCGCCCCATCAGTCCAAGGCTCCATACTCGGAGTTCACGGGCGGCAAGAGAGTTCTGAGTTTAAAATCAGTTCGCACCGAACACGCACATGCAATGACTTTCGCATTGTCTAAGCTTCCTAGTAAGGCTGCTGCCACAAGGATAACAACGAAATGCAGCTCTGCCAGCATCCCAAGTAGGGCAGCAGGATCCTGTAAATAACAGATAGGACAACAAAGGCCAACAACCCTCAGCATGAACGCAGGACACTGTAAATAAGGATTCAATGTCTCTCCGGCTTGCAACCATTCTTACCACCCCGACCCTAGCACTGCCCATGACCAGCGGGCCCACGGGCTCAACGGGCCCACGGGCCCACGGGCTCGCGGGCCCACGGGCCCGCCACGGGCCCACCAACGGGCCCACGGGCCCACGGCCCCACGGGCCCACGGGCCCACGGGCCCGTCCGCCGAAAAGACCATGCCCCGAGATAGACGAACACCCTTTTCACAATTCTCTCCGTGTCGCTGGCCCTTCTGAACATGTTCGAAGGAAGGTTCTAACATGAGGATTTGAGTGAGTGAGTGAGTGAGTGAGTGAGTGTCGACCAGCACTTACGGTGCGGCCTACCTCCCACGTCCCTCTCAACATCTCAGGGGGGCTCCGCAAGCGTCATCGCCCCCCTCCGTCCCAGAACATGAGGATTTGATTTTATGACTCTGTGGTTCGTTTTTTCCCTCCGACTTAATTTGCAGATTTAGCAAGGAAAAAGCCCGCATTGCAGGGTTCGGGCTTTTGGGGTTTAGGGGTTTGCGGTTTCGGGGGCTCGAATGAAGAACAACCGACTTTGACCTCTCTGTTCCCGCCGTGTCCCCTCCTAGAACACTGAACATGACATCTAAACACCTAAAGACCGACCCTTAACCCTAAACCTTATAAGCATGCAGCTTGCCCTAAACCCCGGAACTTGGCCATCCCTGAGAAAAGCGCAGGGCACAGCTGCCTAGAGCAATGCAAATCAACGCTTATGACTTGAAGTCGAAGCTACACGGGGTTTGAGGTCGGCCCAAACTGGGTTTTGGTTTTGGAAGCGGTTACGTGTGAGGGGCTTAGGGTAGGTTTTGCTGGTGCCAGTTCAGCATAGCGACCGTGTGTAGGACATCGCAGGCATGGGCGAAGCAGTGGTAAGGCACGTCCAGGTACTCCCTCGCTGTGCAAGGTTCACAAAGCTCAAAACGAGAACCATAACTGCGGGGTTTGAGACGGGAATGCTTTATTGATTTGGACTTCGGGGTCTGATCTTCTTGCTTGAAGGCTTGCAAAACGGATTATGGCAGCGTGTTGACGTATACAGGGTTGAATGCTTGGAGGCCACAAAATGTCAAAGATGGAAAGGCACAGTGTTTTCGAATTGGAGCTGGGGTTCGGCTGTTGTGCCAGCAGGTGGTTGCGGCAAGGCCTATCAACACTACCTCTCCGAAGCCCCACGGCGAAGCCAAGCAATGCGAGGGTCGATGGCCTTTTGCTTGCAGGACCTATATGCTTGGACCCATCAGTGAGAAAAAACAATTTGCACCCTAACGAACACGACAGCTACTTGAAAAGACCGTGAATTAGAGAAAGTGGCACATTCTAGTGGATCAGACAGCTCAGATACGTGAGTCAGGTTTGGAGCTTCGGAAACTGGCGAAGCAAATGGCTTTGCCACTCACCCCCTACTCTGCCGAGCACTTGCTGGATCCAGAGCCTTTGAGCATCCTTGAGCCAAGCTCACCCCAGCTCTGCCAGGAGCCGGAAACCCAAATGAGCATAAGGCTTGCAAAAGCTGCAACTCGCAACCCCCAATCCTTAACTCCCGTACCACCGCAACTGATGCCAACGAGCAGACGAGGGGCGGCTTAACCGCCTCTACAAATGCAGGGAAAATCCCTTCATCGCAGAACATTGGGGCCACGCCGAACTCAGAGTCAAAGAAGACATGCCTGGAATGGGTATTTCTTTTCAGGGAGAGGCTTTGGGCTTGGGGACCAACTGTACCTCGACCCGTCTTTTTCAAGTGCTGGACATTTTTATGAGTGGTCATTGAGTCACAACCCACAACACCCTAAGCTTAAGCCTAAACCTTACTAATCAACCACAAAAGCCCCTGCTTCCACCATGGTGCATGATGGCTTCGTCTAGCTCCCGAGGTTCCATGTTCAGCACGTCAAAGTTCTCAGCACGAGGCTTGGACGGAAGAAGTCGGATTTGGGGGGATGGTTTCCTTCTCGCATGGCCGGGATCAATGGCTTTAGAGTCGGGTTTCGTGGTGGTAAGTCCGGGTCTGAGACCCTATTTCTTGGGAACCCGGAGCTCTATCCAATCAGCCGGGAGTTCCAGGACCCCTAAACCCTAAACCCTACGTGGGCTTTGAGACTCAGCTCTTGGAAGCTTGGTAAAGGCTCATTGCCAGGGCTTATGGAGTTTAAAGGCCTCTCGCCAGGGTGAAGGGTTGAGTTAGGGCCAAAGGTTGCAGCTCAAAGCTTCTCGGGCATTGGGTTTAAACAGATAGAGCTTGGGCATGAGGGGGTAATCGGGATATAGCGTTGGGGTTTTAGAGTCTGGAGGCTTACCTCGAGGTAGGGGACCGAATCGTTCACACCGATAGAGTTGCCCTTTTAAAGAAAGGTTCCTGAAGGGACCCGCTGCACCGGCGCTTCAAAGCTTTTGCTCAAGAAGAAACATCAATGCAAGATCCGCCCTGGACATGCACACCAGTAATTATTCCAGGAGTTCGGACTTGTTGGCTTCTATGGCTCTATCCCGACAGCCCTTGTTAGCCGCGCTCTGGGGCCATACGCCTTGGACAAACTAAGCGCGGATCTACTCGCCCTTGTTGAGCCGTCAACAAAATCACAAACCCGAAACGGTCATTCAGCAACCAGGACTGTTCGACCCCCCTTTCTCCAACTGGGCAAGCCTAGCCAGTCTCCCTTAACCCTAAACCCGAGTCAAAGGAAGAAACTCTGAAGGCGAAAGGGCCAACCTCCGGCTTCCTTGCCTAGGCACCCAGGTCTGAAGCTTGACCTCCCGGTCCTCAGGCAGGATCTCGAGACACGTGCTCAATCAATATACCACACCATAAACAGCCCATTTTCGGCTGCTAGGTCGTGTGGCCAATGTCTTCACAAAGTCTCCGCCCTGCTTGCCGTGCCTTACGCATCGTACCACGCTGCTCAGACGCATCCGGAGATGTCTCAACTACTCTACTGCAACTCAAACCCCCCTAAAGCCCAACAGTAACCCGGATAGAGTAACCCTCTGCAATGCCTCTGGTAGCACCGCTCTAAGTGTGTACATGTATGCATGTAGGTATGTATGTACGTGTGTTTACGTATATATATATATATATATACATATATATATATATATATATATATATATATATATACGTCTAGTATAGGTTCAAGCAGAAGTGCAATTGCCAATGCATGCATATACGTCTGTACTTGCGCGTGTTCCCTTCTTCAGAAACAGTTACGCAAATCAGAAAGGACATGACGCAAGGCACCCTATGATACCAGGAGCAACACTACATACAAAACAACAGATCGAAATCGGCAGCCGATGCTGAGCCGTCAGCATCCATGATCTCTTTCAGCAGAGCACAGACGAGATGTGCTATCACATTGCGACCTCTGGTCCTTAACATGGGCTACTCCGGCTACGACTAGTGTTTGAAGCACTACTATTTAGGGGTTTAGGGGTTTAGGGTTTAGGGATTACTACATCAGGGCTACTACAGTAGGGCTACAACGATTCAGCCCGGTAGAAAAGCGAAGGATAATGGCTGGACCCGCCATCGAGGCTCCTTCTTGACCCCGTTGAGGGACCTTGGCGCAGAAGCCATTTTCCGTGCTGGGAAAAGTGGTATGCGTGTGAGAGATGAACTTCTAAGGTTCAGACTTGCTGAGTCCTTCCTATTGAATGCCACGGCATTTCAATTGGGATGTTGATGCAATGTAGTTGCTGTTGATAGCGCTGCCGCTTCTTATCTTGCTGCTGGCGATTATCCGGACGTGCTTCTGATGACTGCAGTCAACACTGTCACCCTACTGGTGATGGAAGCCATGACGAAAAACCGATGATGTGTCGACAGCGTGGGTCCGCAGTCCGCATGGCAATGCTGTACTCGTCTTATCGCATTCTTGTCGTAGTCTGCGCAGGACGGTGGTCGAAGACCGTTTGTCGTAGGTATTCGGAGGTATTGGGTGTGGTGGTGGTGCTGCTGCTGGTGGAAAACGATATTTCAGTGGAACCGTGCGGCTTGAATGTATACGATATGGTAGCATCCCTGACCCACACCATAATCAGCAAACGATGAGATAAGTTTTCCTAAGCCATCGTCTGGAGTCCTGAACCATAAAACGTGAACTTGCAGACTTGTGGCACTGCCCATGCAGCCAGCTGCGCCGGCGCTTGCTCGACCTGTTCCTCTGCGACCTGGCGTGGGCAACGAGTTCAATCGTTTGGCTTTGTTGCTTAGACGAAAGTTTACTCTGTCCGCTTTTTGAACACATCGGGCTGAAGATTTAGTGCCTGGGGTCACACACGAATTGAGTTGTGATCGGTCCCGACAGGAGGATGCTGCCCTTACTCTATCAAGAAATTGTCTCCGACTGTATGAAGCCTTGTAATTTCTCAACTGTTGGTCGCTTCGTCTTCACCCGAACGGCGGCGGGCATATCAAAGTACTGTATGATGTTCACTTACTCATATACTTCCGTGCTCCGAAGGGGGCTGACAGGCTTCATAATCACTCCATTAGCCCGTGTCCCCCCCCGGGTTGTGTTCACAGAAGCAACCACCAGTCTGGGCCATCAGCCTTCCTGGTGCCAACAACATGTGGACGGCGAATGCTACATCATAAAGCCCTAACCTTAGTCGCTGAAGGCAACTAGGCTAACCGTTCCATTCTGCTAGGGCCATACCCCGCCAACACTACAGACCCACGCACCATTCCAGGAGAGCCCCCAAGACCCGCGTGAGGCCAACATGTGTGACACACAGTCATGCAGTGATCGGAGCATGCAGCACGATCACACACACACACACACACACACACACACACACACACACACACACACACACACACACACACACACACACCGAGCCGTAGTGGGAACGGAAACCGCACCGAACATGTTCGCAGGCTTGTGGTGCGAGCAGGATCTTTGGAAGTGGGAAAGAAAGCGATCTTGGGGGCGGAGTCGCACCCGACTCGTTTGGCGTTTGGTGTGTTGGGCTCTGGTATGGTTTTGTTTGATTTTATGATACCTTGCAGGCAAATTGCATCTCTGACGAAGGTCTTCAACTTATAGGGATGTACAGAGGATAAAGGTAGCTTGAACATGATGATATGCTAGAAGTTGGGTTCTCGACTCCAGACCGGGCAGTTACACCGAACGATCCCCTCATCATGAAGCATGGACGACATGGCCGTTTCGATTTTTTCACACTTTCAATTTAGGGCTTTGGGTTGCGAACTGTTCGCACGATTGCAGTATGACTCAGTGTGCTTATAATACTGCCATAGGGATCTCTTCATTCCAACCTGTGCTGATGCTGCTGATGATGATGATTATGATGATGACGCTGGTGTTGCTATCTGATGCAGATGGAGAGTTTGGTGCGAGAGACTCGTGTCACAAGCGTTGGGGTGGTTCTTCGCTATGCGAGGGGTGACTCGGGGGCTACCTTGAACAAAACGACACCGATGCTAGTATGCGGGGATCTTCGAGCTAAACCCCTATCATCCTAAACATCTGCATGGCGGCCCGCCTTGACGCCCATCATCTCAACAAGAACGGCCTTCTCATACCTCGCCAGTTGCAATATTTGGGAAGGCCCGTCAAAAGGGCAAGGAAGAGGCACTTGCTCTGGTTGGGGCTCGTGATATGAGCTGCATCTGTCTTGGTTAAACCCTAACCCCTCGCCGATTTACAGCCTGATGCATGCACTCACAGACAGGTTCCTGCAGTGGGGCAACGGGCAACGCTGAACAGCCAGTAGAAGCCCAAGCACTGCGCTTTAAAGAACTTTCAGGTCTTGCGTAGTGCTTGCGTTTTTGGGTTTGTGTGGGGACGGCTTCAGATGGCTCTTCGTGATTTCTTCCTCTCACAGTGTCTCTGAATGCTCCGCCCTATATGTTTTAAACAGTAACCGCGCAACTTCACATCCCCTACCCGCGCACCTCAGCTTTCCAAACTATGGACCGAATACACAAAGACCTCTATACCTCAAAACTTCTATGAACCCTAGACTGGCCCTAAACCCCAATAGAACGCCACAAACCCGACCCCCTGCTGCAGGTGGAAGCGACTCACTTTTCTTCGCCATCTCCTCCTTGCTGATCTCGTTCTTGTTAAGCGCCTTCCGCAGCCCGGTAAGGGTTATCGGGCTCAAAGGCTCTAGGATTGCAGGTTTAGGGTTTAGGGGTTTAGGGTTTAGGGTTTAGGATTGCAGGATTCTTGTTTGGGGGGGGGAGGGTTTTGAACTCTTTTTCTCTCCAGGGCATCCTTATTTGGTCAGGGCTTGGGTTCACCTCGGGGTGAGGGTCTCGAGGCTTCAAGAACTAGATCAATTTAGAACTTTGCCTCGGGCGTAGGGTCAGGGACGTGTTATTATAGGCTTTAACAACTTCAGGCTCTACTCTTGTAACTCTGGATTTAGGTCTCAATGCCTCGGTGCCCGTCGTTTCGGAACACTTAAGTTTAGCGATACCATCCGAGCTGTGGGCCCACAACGGAGTCCAACATTCTTAGAGCATAAACCCCCTTGTCAGGGCACCTGGTTCAAGATGCCACCTAAATAGCATCTCGCAATTAAGCTATGCCTGAAGATGGGCCAGACATCTCCAAACACTCCAAACGCCTTGCACTCTTATTGCCCATGCACAGCACCTCCCTTCCAGAAGAAGCCTTCTGACCGCCACGTGTCAACTGCAAAAGACTCGGATTTAGCAAAGGTCCTCGACACCTCAACAAACCCTAGCCCCCGATCCGAGATAGCCTATATACATTCTAGACCAGCGCCCAACCTGCCCTGCAATTCGCGAGAGCTTCTGCAGTGTCCGCTCCTCCAGACGTTGGGTCTACTGAGCGTGAAGGTAACTGAGTTGGAGTCGGAGGTATTGGCTTTCGGAAAAGAGTTGCTGTACTGGGCTCAATGTCGTCAGGAAACGCTCAAGGCTTTGGGCTTGGACTTTGTCCTTGGTTGAAGCTCGACTCTGAGTGGCGACTCCCTTCGAAGGTTGAAGCCTCTGTACACTAAGGTAGCTTTCAGACTTGTTGATATAGAGTACCAAGGGCCACCTGCTCAGAAAACCCAAATCACCTTGTGCGATTTCCGGGTTGTGGTCTTGTGTATTACAGCTGCTCACGGCACGAGCAGGCGGTGTTGAGGTTTGCACGTAATGCTTCCAAATTTTTAACCGTGCACGCACATTTCAACCATTGATAGTGCTTGAACCCCACGCCACCAAAACCTACGGCCAACCCCTAAGCCTCCTAAACTTCCTACACCTTCCAACTTTCTGACCCCTTGATACCCTAGAGAAACAAGCTGGGAGCCCGGCGATGAGCTCCAGCTCAGTAGCCCGACTTTCGTCATCTTCTTCCTTCAGCAGTTCTGGGATTCACTACGTCGGGTTCGGGCATTGGGTGTCGTCAGGGCTTCAGGACGTTTTTGGCTTGGGGCTCCAGGATTGAAGCTTCAGGATTGTTCGCATGGTAAGTCTTGATCATGATGAGACGGCACTCAGCACGTTGGCAATTGCAAGACTACTTACGTGGATGTCACGGGCATTGCGCCTATAATTCGAGGCCTGGCCGCTCGTGAGTTAGCGTTGTTCGGCTTCTCAGCAGGGTATCCCGATTCACCGGGCTTGGGGTTCCGCACTCAAACGGCTCAGGACTTGCCTGTAGCTCATCGTCGCTGCCACCGGCAGTTTGCAAATCCATCCTTAGCAACACAAACTCGGTCTACATCGGTCACCCCGAAGAGAAGGTTGTCCCTGAGGCACTGCACTGACTCCTGTTCCAGCCCAGGTCATTGCCAAATGTGCGGGCTTTAGATCTGGAAGGTGTGCGCTTGCCCGGAAGCATACATGTACTTGTCAATATCACGTCAAGGACTAGTTTCAACCTTGCTGCGACTAAATCTGGCTAAATGAAAGGGTTACGGCATCCACTGGCGCTCTCATTGGGAGGAGAAGGGCATTTAACGGAAGAAGCAGCACCTACAAGCACTGAGCGAGATCTCAATAGAAGCTGCTTGGTTCGTAGGGTTTGGGAAGTCTGCAGCGAGCCTGCATGTCTGGCGAGAAGACTACAAGCGCGCACCCCCACTCTGCAACCCTGAAGATCAACATGCCACAGCCAGGCTCGATTGGTTGTTAATCGTTGTTTTTTGTGGGGGTGGGGTCTCGGACTCTGAGCTTGCATGGCTTTTTTGTCAGTAGGTCCGGACAGCGATTCGTGCCTTACTTAAGCTCTGGGGCCATTAATGCAAACGGAAGTCACGAAGGAAGAGGTCTCCGCACGTAAAATTCCCATGTGGGAGTTCAGTAGATGCAGGACATCTGTAAGCATACATACCTATATACATATCATATAAGTACAAACAAACAAACATAACTATGTATCGAGAAAGCGAGAGGGAGAGAGAGAGAGAGAGAGAGAGAGAGAGAGAGAGAGAGATACCGAGAGAGAGAGAGAGAGAGAGAGAGAGAGAGGCAGGCACTGAAGACTAGAATCCCCATTTTGCGAAGACCCTCACAAAAGAGTAGCCCTGCGGGAAGCTTGTCGCCGGAGGCGGCAGTGGTCATACAGTGGAAGCCAAACTGTGATGTTTAGCCTAAGCCTCGCATTGAATGCCTCTGCCTCTCTGCACTGCAACCCTAACCCCGCCGCGAATTGCCGAGTTTCTGTACAAACTTCACACTCAGATTCGCAGGTTCTTGTTTCTGGTTACTTCTCTAAAGGGCCCTGATTCCTGAAGAAGTCGTGTCGAGCCAAGTCGCCCGATAGTGGTTCCGAGCGAATTCATCCTGAGTCTTATCGCGACACCCGCTTAGGGCTTTTTGCTTTCGGGTTCGGTTACGAGGGCTTTCGAAAGGCTTTCCGGTCTACCCTCCAGCCTAAACGTTTCACGAACCCTGATGCCTAACAAGCTAAACCGTCATCCCAACCCCTTAACTCCCGAATGCTCCCAAACCCTAAAGGATTTTGCGTTTTCTCACTTCGTACACAAATGTGCTACTGCAGGAGCCCCGGTAGTTAGTAATACTATTTCCTTAGGGTTCCTCCTTCCTGCTTGTCAAAAATTCAGGGGTCTCAGGGCGGGATCGAGGTTTGAGACTCAGGCGTTGAGGGGCTCGAGGTTCCTGGAAGCTTCGGGAAGACAAATTCAGCTTGAAACCAGAAACTGCGCGAGGGCGACGTATGACAAAAGGTACCTCCACCAGTGGAGTGTCACTGTTAAGTAAACTAACTACTGCCAGGTTGCTGCCCAAACAGATGAGGCAATTTTGCAGCAACAACATTGAACAGGACACATTACCGACTTCCCCAACCCTAAACCCCAAGCCTGCACTGCTCAACCGGATTAAAGCAACGAGCTCGAAATGCGTCCAAGCCCGGGATCACCCTCGTGCTATCTTTGCAAACTAGAGGGATCTCGGATCGTAACAACTGACCAGCCTCAAAGAGAAGCGGTCGTTCATTCGTCGTGTCAGTGCATGTAGATGCGCATATAGCCATATGTGAACTAGGATAGTCTCGCGCCCAAGCAGCTGCTTTGTCCATGCTGCAGGGACTTCTCTCCGCATCAGTCAGCACACACACATATACATATACATATATATATATGTTCATATATACAGGTATGTATGTGAGTATACACATGTGTGTTGGTCATGAGTGGGTGGGTGAGTGAGTGTGTGCATGTGTGTGTGTGTGTTTACATGCGTGCATGCATACACTTACTGAAGCAAGTTTTGCTTTGGTGACAATATCGGCTCTCCTAGTCTGTACTTACTATCCGAAGCCGCTGTATAAACCCTGAATGCTAAGCCACAACCCTTTTTACACCTGGACTATGCAAAACCCTAAACCTTAAACCCTTAACCCCTCTACCCTAAATCTAAACCCTCTCAAACAATCTCAGTGGCAAGGACTGGGCAGATCCTTTCAGGCCGGCAAGCATCTTTTCCTCGGCTTCGGGGCTAACATAGGGGCCCGGTATACTGTACTTATAACAAGGCACCCACGAAATCGTTTTATGTTACGGTCTTAACTTACTCGGGCTTTGTTGTTGAGGTTTCTTGGTTTTTATTGTTCTGTTGGTTTCTGGAGGGCGGGAGGCTCGGGCTTTGTCTACCCCAAGAACCCAATGAAACCAGAGACTACAAAGTAAGCTGCGAGGGAAGCTACGTGGATCAGTTTAGGGTTTGGGGCGGGATTCTGGGGAGTTATGTTCTGTTCTTTGCGGTGTCCAGGTACAGGATGGAGGCTCATGCTGTGTGCTGTGGTCGTACTTTTGACGTGCGCTCCTGCCCCCTGTGTACACTGGGAAGACTGGCTGAACTGATTTACAGCCGGGTCGTGCTTCAGACAGTTCAATCCTAAACAATATGATGCAGCCCGAAACAATGAATCCTGACGGCAGGTGGGCGACGGGACACCGAGCAGCGGTAGAAGCAGGCTAAAACATCACACGGGCATGTAGTTGAAATGGATAACATGCACAGGAGGCACATGGATCGCACAAACCACAACGTCAAGAGCCCATAACCCAAACCGCAAAATGCCCAAACCTGGAGCCCTCGACGTTCAAGAGGAATATATCATATTTAAGTTAACTTATCGGTTCCCGAAGAAACTAACAATCTTCTGAACATCGTCTCGTTAGTCATCCTGTCTGTCTCGGTCTCCGTCTCAGTTTCAGTCTCAGTCTCTATCTCTCTGTCCCTCTCTCCCTGCCTCTCTCTGATCCTATTGTTTCTCGCTCTTCTGTTTTGTCGTCTGCTGCACGTGGTCTCTGTCAAATACATGTGTATAAATATGTGTGTGTAAATGTATGTATATGCATAATCTTCATATACATAATACATATATATATATATATATAGATAGATAGATACACGCAAACACACTATCTATCCTCGCTGCCAGCCCTGCAGATCCCACAAGGTCCTAAGTCCACCAAGCTTCGAGAGGCTTCACCAGCAGGTCGTTCAGCACAGTGCCCAGGTCAATCGTCATGAACCTCTAATTAACGATTTCGGTCGTAGGGACCCTGGGAATGGCCTGGTGTCCAAAACAGTTCTGAAACATGACATGCTGCAACTTCTGGATTGGCTGGTGTTCACTGCTGCTCACAGCTGCCTGGGCTGTTTCATGACAAGACAGCTCCAATCTATCCCTGCCATGTGTTCGCATTTTTCGGAACATGCGGATCTATCAGGACACCTGGTCGCCTGCAAAACATTCGGTGAAGCAAACTATGAAGCTTTTCTCTTGAAGGGTCTCCAGCTTAGGGTCTTACGTTGATGTCGGGTGTAAAGGGCTTTGGCTGGGGAATCCATCAACACGGATCTGGAATTCAATTGACGGATGCTATCCATACATCATCCATCTCAGCTCTCCGCAAGAGAAATCAACAAGAACTACCGCAAGGTTTCGCCATGCTTTCTGATCCTGTCGGTGGCCCATGGCGGTGTCTGCCAAGATAGCACTGAGAGAAGTCGTCCAGAAATCTCAAGGCCCTGGATCTGAGGGCGCTACTACACAAACCCAAGGACAGCGGACATCCTTGCTAGAATTTTGGCTTCAGCGTGTCTCTGTTGTCAGTGCGCGCCTTTTGTGTGACCCGGACAGTCAACGTATGGGAAATAAGAGTAAGGTTGAAGTCAGTGCACAACGGGATATGAGAACAACTGTTGAAGCTGTGTGTTTCTCTGTCTCCGTCGTCAGTGTCTGTGCTGGTGCCGGTGTCTGCATCTGTGTCGGTGCCTGTAGCTGTCTCTCTCTCTCTCTCTCTCTCTCTCTCTCTCACTTTCTGTGTGTGTGTGTGTGTGTGTGTGTGTGTCTGTGTCTGTCCGTCTTGATCTTTCTGCGTGTGTGCCTGTGCGTGTTTGTACTGCCCAAGTATGTGAATTTTCTTCCGAGGGACGCGCGAGGTTGCGGTGGTTTCGGACCCAAGGCTTGAGGGGATTGTGGGTTTAGGATGTACCTTCGGCTACTGATCTCCGATTTAAGGCGCAGGGTCATGAGCTGCTGGGCTTTACCAGCGTTCAGTTTGTTTATGTATTGACGATCGAATGCCGAACATCCGAGAAGCATCATGACGAGGACGATGATGAACACCAGCGTGATTTCCATGGCTGCCTCGGCAAACAGATTCTGCTGCTGGTCACGTTTTGCACACCATACTCACAACAACCGCAGAATGCCTGACCCTAAACCCTGATAAGCCTTTGACATGGGCTTTGCAAGATATAGCCTAAACCCTAAGCCCTCACTTCAACCACGAAAGCTCAGAAACCGCAGTTGAGGTGAAATGGCACCCTTCGTGGCTTTCAGCTGCTGGCAGCACTCCCCTGTTTACGTTACAAGCCTGACTTGACACGGGGCTAGACCCTGAAAATCCCGGAACCCTGAGTCTCAAACTCTCAGCAGCCGGTCCTGCACCCAAAGCCTCATAAGCCTCCCAATTCCCAAGCTATTGCGTCAGCAATTCAGCAACCAGGCAGCGCGCACAGAACGTGGACACAAATTCTGGTTCTGAGATGTTCTGAGCGATGCCGAGTTGGTGCATTGTAGCGTGTGGCTTGATGGAGTCTTTTGTGAATTATGTTAATCGCTCTGTTAATTAGATTTGAAAGGATGAGGGTTAAACTGGAGTGATGAAACCTGAAATGGCTTGAACACTTGTCTTCACTCCTCCCGACAGCACAGCTAAACATCATTGACTCATACAGTTCTCCGGACTGTAATGCGGAGGGTCCACCGCTCCGAAGGAGAGAAAGAAGAGAGAGAGCGAGAGAGAGAGAGAGAGAGAGAGAGAGAGAGAGAGAGACAGAACCAAAGGACACGGAAAGACAGAGAGATCGAGGCGTAGGGACGGAGAGAGGGACGTACTTCTGAGATCTTGTCCACGCCCAAGTTGCTGAAATTCGACCAGCATTTGTGAAGTTGAACAGGATTGCAGCTTTCATCGTGCTGTCGCAGCTGCTGCGCGAGAGCACGCACTCAGACACCTGCCGCAGGTTTGGGGTTGGATGCCCAGTCTCTACGGACGAGTTGGTTTAAATTCAACAGCGCGCCGACAAACTAAATTCACGAACTCCAAAAGGTCCTTCCGAGAGGGATGTTTGATTTTGGCTGTTGGGCTTTCGTGCGGAGGGCTTCGATACCCAACCCAAGAGCTTGCTCAAATTTAGCCCCAGCCCTATCATGCCCGTATACATGACAGCCCGATCTAGCCATGGATGTCTGCAAACCATGACCTGCCCAACGTTTGAGCAGGTGCGAGTTGGAAATTACACGGGGGCCATCCTCAACAGTTGGATCCTTAACATAAGCAAACCCCCCATCACAGGCATCAGCCGTAACTTTGAGAACCCCAAATATACCTCACTCGTGAAGCCTTACAACACCCATAGAGCTCCATGCTCTGACAATCCCAAGCCCCTCCTCGATGCGAACGTCGTTTCTAGACCTTGAGGGTTTGGTGACGGCCGAGTCAAGGGAATAGTCGCCTGGGATGCTCATGGCTTCGAGCGTAAGGGTGGCGTCTAACTGAGAGAATTAGAGGGCATGGAGTTCTGGGACTTGGGGTCTAGAGCGTGGGCTTAAGTTCAGGAAAGTTAGACGGTTTTGGACTTTTGGGGTTACTTGGAGGGCTATTGCGCCTTTGTTTCAGGATTTTCGTTTTCAGGCCCTGGAGGTTTCAGAGTCCAGGCTTTGGGCTTCCTGTTTTCAATGTTTGGTGTCCTTTGAAAGGTCTCTTCGCGAGGTCCGGTGAGAGCGGCGGGGCTTAAGGCTTTAGGGTTTCGCGATGTTTGGGTTCTGGAGTACCTGGAGCTGACAAGGCCAACCCGACCGAGCTTACTTTAAATGCTTTCGGTGCAGGAAATGGAAGCCCTAACTTGCTGATCTGGAACGTTCCAGCTCGAGGATTATCCAGGGCATCCACACCCTAATCCCTACTGCACATCGCAGAGACCTTCCCAAGGTCAGATCGAGTTTCCAAAGCCCTCGATGGCATACGGTGCATAGTCGTCGTTCTGGTAGAACTCGACCATGTCGGACCTCGGCAGTCGCAAATGTTCGAAGCTCTACGAGTGTCAAGCTTCCTCTAGGTCGAGTGTGCGCACACACCATAGATGCGACGTACGCCTACGCGGAGAGGAAGCACGGTGCCAAACCCCGCGTTTTGTCGTTGATTGCTGTGTCCTGTCTGGCCAGCTGTGCCCTACCCCAAGCACGTCACCTTGCAACTGCCATCTGGCCTGCAAGACACTTTAGGACATTGGCTTGAGGCGTGTCCGGGGCCTCAAGATCTCCAGCATTAACCTTCAAACACGGCACTGCTGAACCCTAAGCCGAACCCAAAGCACAGCTGCCTGAGGCTTAAGTACTAGAATGAGCTCCGGTACGAACATACACGCGTCGCATCAGGGTTCCGGGGGTTGGCAAAGTTCTCTACGATAAGAGTTTGAATCGTCGATTAGGGTTCGGAGCCTTCACGATGCACAAGTAGCCGCCAATCCTTATGATCATAATGACTGCACAGTTCAACTACTCTGATAGTAGAAAGACGCGTTGTCGCAGGAGCCCATGCCGTCTGTCTCTGGCTGTGCTGCTCGCAGTAATCAGCTTGGCGGGCGGCGGGCAGGGTTGGGTTTTGAGCCGTGCGTGCGTAAAGTAGTGCGTGGGTTTCGGTCATTGGTGAAGGGCTCGCATTTGAGAGCTCGAAGTCGCCACATCATGCCTAGGCAGTGTGGATGTAGAAGCATGCTTTTAACACGGCTCCCCCGCAAGCCCCGTTCTCGAATTCACTTTGTCCTTCCCCCTTGTCAAACAAAACAACCATGAAAGCAATCCTTTTGTGCGAGCAACCTGTAAAACCCGTATCTCATTATCCCTCATATGATTCTTGTTCATAGATTCTGACTTCAAGCTCGGCGGCGCTTGTTTCAGGAAGCTGGCGGCGTTCTGTGTGGCCTGAGTGCTGCAAGTGCGGCTGAGGGGCTTCGGCTTCAAGGAGCCAACACAATTTCTTGAAGAAGGCCCCATGTTAAGCCGCCCCGCGGAAGCTTAAGACAAGATGACAAGAGAGGGCTCTAACAAAGACCGTAAATGGTAGGCCCGGCGCTTTATTCTAAGGACCATAACAATGTGAGAGAACCGCCCCCCGGCCCCTCACCCAAATATTACAAGTAAGAAGCGGCCATACAATTGCATAGCCGGTAGGGTATGTTCGATCTTCCATTGGGATCCTTTCCGGGGTCTGGGGCCTTAAGTTCGAGATTGGTGGGATCTTGTAGAGCGAGATAAAAATTGCAGCCTTGAATTTGGGGGAGTGCTCAGACTATTCAGAGTCTTTTTTCCTTGTTGTACCGGGTGCCCCAACAGACACCTCAACAAACAGGTCGCACTCCAAAAAAACAAGAGCTGACAGGGAGCATCCCCTCTAGTTATGTGCCCTTTCCTGAACCCGAAAGAAACTCTGATGAGTTTTGCCATTTCCCCCAAATGTGAACCGACAACTTCTGCGCCCCTCCCTCTTCAGCCGGGGGGCAAAAGCCTCCTCCAGATTTCCTGAGCAAGGAGCAAAGCCACTGCTTCGGTCTATAAGCCCCAGGCTATAGGGCTCAGGATCAAGGCCTATGAGGGCTAGGGATATGGGTTCTGAGGGCTTTTCAGGTACCTGCCACCCCGGTGCAGCCAGTCTAGGGGCCCTAGACCGCACTGCCTACACCCCATGACCCCTTAACCCGAGGTCTGACACCCAAAGAAACGAAGCAACCAAAACAGCGCCCCAGCGTCTTGCCCATAGGACCATGGACTGGTCCTCCCGTGGGAAGTTGGGCAGCTCTAGCCTCGAATCTGGTCTTCAATTTCTTATCGGGCTATTTCTGGGTTACATAAGTTTGGGGTTTGTAGGGTTTGCATTGTCGGAGGCAGGGTTCAGTTACCAATGCTTTCAGCACTCACAACTTGGACAGGCCTCACGAGATAAAGAGTGCGACGAAACAGCGTGTTGACATCAAGCAAACAGCGGCGTTCACCATCCACCACCTGGTGCCACTGGTTCAAGATTATTGGGATCCAGTGGTAATATGGTTATACCCTGCTGCCATGCCTGAACTCCAAGCCACAGGAGGAAATCCTGAACTTTGGGCGAGACAATGATTGAAGCCCTAAACCTCAGACCACAAAGTAAATCCCATACCCTGAACACTCAACCCAGTTCCATGTGAGGGGCACTCAACCTCAAGCGGCGCCTGGACCCCTAAACCCGTTTGCGAAAGTGATACCCTCGCTTTCATGTAGGGTCGATGCTGTAGAAATTCCAGGTTCTGCTGAAGAGTTCAAGTACTCAATAATCACCTCCCAACAAGAACTAACCCACATTGCCATCAGCGTAGGACCTTAAGGCGTCAGGGCGTTAGTGCTGCTTCGGGCTAGTAGACCTCATACTTACAACCGGACAGTTGCATCGGACGGGGAGCAGAGGGACGACAGAAATCAGAAAAATGGTCAGCATGGCCACTCCTGCAGCAGGAGTGAAATTTCAGAGTTCGGGACGTCAGGATAAACCGCCAAGCCCTAAACTGCTACCCTGCCCGAAGCCACTTCACCCCATGAGGGCTTGGGGTTCGATGGCTTGGGGTTCGATGTCTTGAAAATTGTAGATAAATAAATAAAAAATATTCATATATATTTTTTTCTTGATGCGACGATCGCTTTTTGGGGAAATTGAAGTATTTCGCCTGCTTAGAGTTTAGGGGCTTGTCTGAGTCCTAAACCATTGCAAACCTGCGGCAGACCTTGAAAGCAAACTCTGCATTCGGTTGGACGTCCGTTGGGAAGATCTGAACGGTTTTCTTCAGAATAGGTGTGGTAATGATCATTAGATGGCCGTACGGATTCCTTAAGATCAGGGGCACTTACCAAATAGCTTGCCAGCACGGATAAGCATTAGGATGATCTCATGTAGCGTAAGTATGCATTATATCCCACTAAGCCATCTGAGACCCTCTACCTGAAGACTGAACTCCAAAACCCCAAACTCTGCCCTGAAGCCACACTACCGTAAAGCCTCAACACCCAGGGCAGCTCACCCAGGGCTAAGCATGACGGCTACTGACCCCGGTCTGCGGCACGACTTCAAATCCGCAGAACTAGGAGAACCGGAAAGTGTCAGCGCCTTCAGCCCGATGTTGCGGGCTTTATGTGGGCTTCTGCGGCTTTTGGTGCAGACTTTCAGGCTATCGGCTGAAGGGTAGGTGTATGGCATTAAAAGGCTTTAAGGGAGTTCTGCTTAAACAGCCCCTCACTCCCTTCCGGCGGCTTCCTTCGGCAATCCTGATGCTTCCTGGACATGGAGATGCCTGGCGTAACACCAACCTTGAACGCCAAAACGGATCCCAAAAGTCCTGAGCCCGGAACCCGCAAATGAATCCCTTTGCCGGGGAGAGACTTTGAGCTTGCTCTTCAATGAACCCCCAAAACCTCAAACCGAGAAACCTGCAAACCTAAATGCTAGGCGAGCCCCGCAACAAGCTGAGGCCAGAACTTGTGGCAATGGAGGACATGAGCCTTTGAGCCAAGACCTGAAAACACCAGGACAACTTGGAATCTTTTAGAGGTTAGGGTTGCAGAAGGTGTTGGGGTGTTTAGGGTTTGCACGTGTGTAAATTTCAAGGTCTCTCTCTCTCTCTCTCTCTCTCACACGGACTCAGTTAAATTTCAAGGTCTATTATGGTCTATTTACACGATAAGGTATTAACATGTAGCCAAATATCGAATAATATGACCTACGTGTAGCACGATACCATCAAATACGAAAATAGGGGGAATACTGTCGAGCCATAAAGCATGCTATGCCATGCCCGGCCATGATCAAATATCTTAATCATGAGACATGTAAATGTACAAGCCCCTTCATCGCAGGCGCCTTGGCTTCGAACTGGGGCTTTTCAGCATCCGGCCGCGTCCCTGGAAGGGCAGGTCAGCTTTCCCGCTGTGGCTTGTAGGGTGTAATTAGGTTGTATAGGGCTGAAGATGCTGAAGCTGGAAGGCTTTGGTTTTCGGGGTCCAGGGTCTGGAAATTGTGTTTGAGCTTATGGAGCGTTCATGTGCTTTTAGCGTCCCACCACCAAAGCCTGCACAAAAATATACGTTTACTCCATGATCGCTTTCAACAAAGAGCGCATGATGCAGGACCCTAAACCCTAAACCGGTATACCTGAAATAACCGAGCTGCTCATCTTACTGCCGGCCTCGACTCGACATGTTCTACCCCGAACATTCCCTCACCCCCATGGGTCCGCCGTCTCTTCAGGGGCCCATACAATATGCACAAGGAGTTGGTGCTACGGGAAAGGACGCGGATGGATTCTTCAATTCACGCCTCAACATCTCAAGCTGACTCAAAGTTTTAGATCGGCTTCTCTGGCTTTCGCGAGTTGCTGCCCATGTAAGAATCTCCCTTGTGGATTTGCGTCTGGTTTGGGATGTACGGCCCTGTGGCAAGGTTTCTGGGCTGAAGGTGCTGTTGGATATCGGATAAATTTGCCTCTTCTCTCGGCTTGAACCGCTTTTGCAAATACCGTTGCCTGCACCGCAGACCCTATTTGCAACACAAGAGTTCGGGCAGTGGCCTTTGTAGGACAGGAGACAAGAAACGTAGCCCCTGAGATAGCAGGAATGGACATCGATTCCTCGATCCTAAACCCGGAGATATCATAGCAGCTTAGTGCCTATCGACAAAAACTCAACACCAGGGAAGGTGGAAATTTTGGCAGGGCCCCTCTATGGTGCTCAATACCCCAAACCTTCACACCCTGCCCATCAACTTTTGCGTTGTCCCCAAGAAACCGAATGCCGTAGATCACACGATGCTGGTTGAAACCAGTTTCAGAACCCTTAGCCTCCTATACCTACTGTTGATGATATACGTCCTGCATTACCCGTAACGAAGAATATACCATAACTCCCATAGTCTAGGGTCATTAAGGTAATGCAGGATTTATATCATCAACCGTATTAAACAAGAAGTTTTGGCTCCCCGCCTCCGTAGCGCATGATCAGGGAACAGCACAAGACCAGCCTTACACTGGATGAACATGGGGAGTTTGGGGTTGCGGGTTTACGGTTTCGACGCTCGCACTCGCGCAAGGCATGCAAGGCTCCACATAGGTTTACGGCTTTTTTTGAAGAGGCCTAGGTTTACGGTTCAGGAGTCAGCGTTGCGAGTTTGGGGTAAAGGTTTCACGGGGAGATTCTGGCAAGACCCCGCTACGGAATAGCTGTACTGACCGGATCATGGTTGCAACTGCCAAGCCACCGCGTTGCCAGTTTATGATGGCCATGGCAAGTATACTTTCAGCTGGTAGCATCCATGCAGTCCAAGGATTGTGCTGCTAGACCTTTATGCCCCTCTCATATAGACAGCAGGAAGTCAGAGCGCAAAGACAGAACGTTCAGTGGAATGTACATACAGATCTTGGACGTCACAACGTCAAGCAGAGCCGGAGACTCCGGAGATCGGAGACAGCCGAAAAAGCGTGATGTCCTGAAGGTCTCGGCCACACCCTGTATCCTATATACGCCCGATGGCCCTAAAGCCCCAACGCAAGTCCGACCATTTGCCGACACTCCTATTACCTACAACCCCGAATATGGGCCGAAGTTGCTTGAAGACGCGGCTGGAACGTGCACCCAGTTTCGCTGCTCTCGCGGAACGCAGCACTACGGCATGGACCATCTCCTTTCGGAACATCGGCGAATTGTTTCCATGCTTGCGACGAGGCTTCAGGATCTGGTGGCACGCAGTGTCCCGTGCTTTAGAGCCGACTTTAGGAAGCTGTAGCATATCAGGGCTCACTATTTTTGGCATGAGTATGCTGTGGCCTCCGGAAACCCGAGCCCGAAACTCTGGAGCATTCCATTCTCAAATGCGTGAGGCTTCGAGAACATCGGACTTTAACACAGACGCAACAAGTAGGCTGATTATGGCATCGCCCCTGTATGTTACTAAGCCGGCACATGCCAGATCCCAGCACGACAGCACTGCGTGAGGCTCACCTTGAGCTTCTCAATCCGAACTCACAGATCCCTAAACCCTCTGATTTGGATGACATTTGGCGCAGTCGGACTAAGAGTACTTACTGTTCGTCATATCATCCTCCTCGCTTTTACGGCTGAGGTCCGTGCTTCGGAGCAGAATGGAGCAGCCGAGAGGCACTCTGACCTAACAAGAAAGAGATCTCGAAGACCATCGACCTCAATGGAAGGGCTTAGGGGAGCTGGCTTAGGGGGTTTTAGGGCTTCAGGCTTTGTGTAAAGAGATGGGTGTAGGTTTAAATCTTGGAGCTTGGGCTTCTAGAGTTTATGATGGTTCTCAGGTTTAGACTTGAAAGTTTTAGGTGCAGGGCTTAAAGTGTCGATTCTTTGGCCGGGGCTCGATGCACCAAATCAATTTACCAGTAGCAGAACCGACGTGGACAGGAAAACGAGGAAGTCGAGTCTTGGGTGGTGCGAGGTTGAGCTTTGAGGCTGTTTCGGGCTTCGGGTGCCCGTCGAGATTCAGCAGCGTATGGATCTGATGCACTCATGCCGCCAAGGTCCTGTTTATTGCAGGGTCCCGTAGTGTAGCTGCCAAAGTTCGGCTTTCGACAGTTTACACCCGATGCTTGTAGTTTGGACGGAAATGACCCGACGCCTCTGGCCCAAAGCACCATAAATCCCAAGGTTCCTGAACTCTCCCTCAGACCAACACTAAACCCTTCCCGCATGTTCCAAGCGACAGAGTGCCAATGACATCCATGGTAAAAAAGAAGGACCAGCCTCCGACGTCGGAGATATGCACGATCGAGAGTCTTACAATATTCATTTGTATGATTATTCCCGTTGTTGATCTTGTGCTTTGATTTTGTGATGGTTGTTATCCTGACAATGATCAGCAATCTCCGTCTGCTATCGTTGTAATCCTTGCGTACGCTCCTTGGCTTCCACGAAGTCTATAATCAGGGGAAGGTGTCCCACAACCGTATCTTTGCTCCCACTCTTCAGGATCTTATAGAACCCCCTCACCATTCACCTCGTGACAGCCTTATTGAAATCAATTCGCTCATCAATTCTTGATTCCCCCCAGGTTTGAGCTTACTTGAGCAACATTTCACATCCACGCGAGCAGTCTAACTGTAATTATCTGCCTCTTGGTCAGGATCTCTGTCTCTTGAGGGATTGCATGGAGGCACCAAGACCCGAAACCCTACATAACCCCGGCAGCGTCCGGCATGGGACAGGAGGAGGAAGAAGTCACACGCACATCTTCAAGAAAGACAAGGCATAACCAAGCTCCGCATAAAGCATAAATCACTTGAGCTCCTTGGTCTGGACCTGTGGTCTAAGTTCCATACTGTAATGGTATGTTACGTGGCCCCTTGTGGTACTTGAGATGCAACATGAGGCACGGTATGCCGTGGTCGCTGTCCAGTTCAGCACCAGCTCCACGCAAAACATCAGCGTGGCAATGACCTGAGTGTCGGGATCTCAAAAGCACAAGCAGGTTTTACGAGTTCAATCCACTGAACCCTGAACCCTCTTTGTCGTGCCCGGGACTATCTCCTGAACGTCAAAGCAGGACAGGCCCTCTTCCCAGGTTTCCGGGCTTTGCTATGTCGAGCCTGCAGCTCCTTCTCGTTGTTAGAGCGAGTTTGAAGATTCGCAGAATTTTCAACGACGAGCAAGAAACGGAAAACGTGGGCAGCCGGCTGTTGAGATGACTTCGAGGGCGATATCGGGTATTATTAATATAGCCACGGAGAAGGGTGCCGGGGATTCGAGACTCGCGATTCTTCGGCGTGCCGCCTTTCCTTCTTTCGGCCGGCGACTTGTTGTCTGCTTGTGCTCGATCCAAAAAGCATCCGTAAAGCTGAGTGCGAGGTGAGGGCTCTGTACGGTACGGAACGCTATTGGTAGAAACTCTTCTAGGGATGGAAGTATGGGAGTCCCCGACCGACGGCTAAATTTCAAAATTTCAGGAATATGGAACCTAGTTCGAGGATCCCTAAAGTGAGAGTCGAGTCTTTTCTTCAAGGCATCGACAGGTTTGCATCATGGCTAGGACCAGAAACGAGACAAGCAGGAGAATTGCCACTTCCACACATCCCCCCCCCCCCCGAATGTCAGAGCCACGAACAGGGACTGCATGTTTGATGCCTTGCACAACTCCGAAACTGTCATGTTCTCAGCAGCCGACCATGACGATATCCTCGGTAGCCAGGCACTACAGATTGAGAAACTCTAAATTCCTGACAACCCAAAACCCTGAACTGTCGTCAACCCCTTGCCCTCATAGAGCGCTGTTTGTTGTGTGACGGCAGCCTTATAGACCCGTGTTTGGCACTCGTAAGGAACCGTCAGTCAGGCTTCAATATTGTCTTCTTGGGCTGCAAGCCCAAAACTTGTCAACTCTATCCTCCGCACAGCCCAACACCTAAGCTTGAACCCAAGATAGCTGCAATGCAGGAGATAAAGCAAGTGTAGTCTGAGAATACCGGATGAAATCTGGCCGTGGTGTGGAAGAAAGAACTCAGGTTGCGTGGGTGTTCGCTGTTGGCTTGAACTTAACATTGCTTGTCTGTGCTTCTCCTGTTGTGGGTCGTGTGGTTTTGGGTGGCAGTACAAAACCTTGCCGGGGCAGCACTGTCTTCAACGCATGTTACAAGACTTGCTGTAGAACTACTCTGGAGCATACCGAAAGTTCAAGGACAAAAACAAACCCTATCCTGAACTCAGCCGAAATTCGAGGCCCCAAGCCCTTCATAGTCTACATTGTAAAGCAAACCCCAAACCGTCGACCCTCAGAGCCAAGCAGCTAAGATCACCAGGCCCGGAACGTCGGGGATATCCAGGAGGTTAAAGCAAGGTCCGCCAATTAAAGCCTGCGATTGAGGGATCGGGGGGTTCCTCCGTTTTTTGAAGGCTGAAGAACCAAGAGAGCCCTCTTTCGCATCAGGACTCCTCAACTCCTAAACCGTGAAGCCATATACCCTTATTCCGAAGCTAGAAAACTTTGCAGGGATCGGTACATTCGGGTGTTCTGGGCTTTCGACTCGTTAGGGTGCGGGATTGGGGGTGAAGTGGTCAGGTGGTACTAAACCAGCCATGTCACAAGGCTTCTTGCTAGAGTCTCCTGTTGAGGTAGCTTGCTTTTGGGAGAACTACGATCAACCAAACCAGAATATGAACGGACCCGCGCAAGACGTTTTGCCACCTTATAAGGCTTTGGAGACATGGACGGGTCTATTGAGACCGTGACGAAAGCACAAGGCACGGGTCAAAGAGTGCAAACAACTCTAAAATCCTGCTGTTGATGCGGCAAGCATCACTTCCGCTGCACTCTTATTGTTCTGGTGATGTAGAAGAAGCTGATGAAAAAGCAAAGACGAGGGAGATGACGCGGAGTGTAATGACTAAGGCTAGGGTGGCTGAGACGGCAATGATGATAGCATGATCGTGCAGATGCTGTAGCTGAGTACACATCTTGACGGATCCGGCTTTCGGCCTGCGGATACCATTCCTGCATTACTATTGCCGCAAGTGTTGATCGCCATGTTTGAGTAGCAGAAGCGCTCATCTCGGAAAACCGTCCGAATCCACAGGTCACAAGAAGTGTAGGACACCATTTCGGATAGTTCTTTGATTTGGGTCTTGGGTTTCCTTGCGTTCAGATCCTCATAAGAGCACCTCGTTCGGCAAATAAAGACCCCCATGGGAACCTTGATGTAGACAACCCCGTCTTCACCGCGTAGGGTTTACGTAGGGTCCAGGGTGGGAACCCTCGGACGCTTAAATTCAAGAGGAAGGGGCGACGACCAAGGAAGCCGCCATGGCATTCTTGAAGCAGGCATTGTTGAGAATGGCCTCTAAGTCAAGCAAACAGCGGTCCAAAGAGCGTTCTTTGGTTCTAACCCTGTAACAACAAAGGCGGTAACGCATGGCTGGCTTTCTGTAGCGAGGTACTTAGGTAGGACATGTGCATCGGAACAGAAATGTCCTGGCTTTGGGCTCAGAAACTGTTTTCAGGGTCCAAGGTGTTTTTTGAAAATGTCTTTTCGGGTGCATTGGCATAAGTCTCTCCACCGCGGTTTTCGTTGCTCCAGCCTACAGGGGAGCCCGCACGTTGATTGACTTTGATACCATAAACGGTTCTGAACTCGTAGATCATGAGTTCGAGTCAGATTGAAACAGCTCCTCGAACCCCGCGAGCTGTCTACACCGATCAATGCTGGGCACACTCCGGCTGCGGTTTCGGATTTCTGTTTCGACGCTCGCACTCGCACAAGGCAGGCAAGGCTCCACATAGTTCGGATTTCTGTTTAAGGTTTCGGGTTCTGGGTTTGAAGGTTTTTAACCCCAAGGAGGCATCAAACGGTGACCCGAAGCTGCGTGCCGCGTGCGGGGTCCGACCTTGCCTTCTCCCCGTAGCGCTCAAGGACAAGGGCTTGCCAGTTCTTGGTGCTATCGGCCTCTAAAGCCCAAACCACTGAATCTTAAAGTAAAAGCCAGAAAGTTGGAATATGATTATCCTAAGCCCTTTATGGTAAATTATAGGGTATCCTACTCTGAAACCATATTCCAACTTTCTGGAGTTCCCTTTAAATCCGGATGCACGATCTTGAGCACCCTGCCATGGAGGACTTCTTGTCCGGTGTTAGCATCCCCGATGGCTGAGTGCGGATGGGCTCATTCAGCAAGTGGGTTCCTGACTCTTCCGTATGAACTTGTGGGGTTTTGATTAGAAGCTGCTTGGCTTTGCGGGTATGTTACCGTGTTCTCCCCACAACTTACAGTTGTAAGTGTTTTGAGGAGATCAAGTCTGAGCGTTATATGCTTGTCAGTAGTGCTCGCCCCACCACTGGCCGGCTAGTGCGATTGATGTCCTATGCTTCAGGGCTCCTGCGGACTAGGGCAAGAAGAGGCCCAGGAGGCTAAGGTGCTATGTTCAGGGTCATGTTCTTGCCTTCGGGGTTCAATTCGAAGGTTAGAACTCACAGCTTCAAAGTGTGCTACTTGTAGCAGCTTGACGAACAGCGAAACACTGAACTGAAAGTATCGCGAAACATGAGAGCCTAGGATCTGAAAATGCTCCGCATCACTGACCCCTGTGCTTGACTCCGGCTTCTCCGCCAGTAAGGGCGGATGGATGGGGACTCACCGATTTCAATGTCATGAGTGGAAAGTGAGTGAGCTGCTCTGAAAATCACTGGCAAGATGCAGCCCGTATGGCATTTAGTCGCAAGCCGAATATACGGTATGTGTAGTGTAGCATAGTGTAGTGTAGTCTAGTGTGGGTATGTATGTATGCATGTGGGTCTGCATGCTTGTATGTGAAATGAGAAACCAATCAAACGAACAAGCATTTGACATTTGCGTGCTGCTAGTCGGGGCTACTGCCAGCATAGCGGCAGGTGCGTGGCCATGTCCCAACCAAAAACAAATGCAACGCGCCTTCATAGGGACGTAGACTTACACATACATGTGTCTGTCACATCGTGGTGCCTTCTGTTTCTGGCTCCCCCGCAAGCCGCCGCACCGTGAGGAGTGAACAGAACCTTCAACTTTTACCCGAAACCCTCAACCTTAGGGACCCCCAAAAGCACATAAGCATAAGCATTTTATAGGGATATCCCTACCTTATTGGGCTTCATTATAAGGGGGGTAATATGGGTTCTCCCTATCCTAGTTTTTGCTTATGAACCCTAAACCGGCAAAAGCCCAATGCCGACACGGCGTCTTCCCAAGCTGCTGGGCTCCACCATGGCCCAAATGGCTTGGGGTTGTTTTGGGCTTCTGGCCTCTCACCCCGGGGGCCTAGGGAGGGCGCTTTGCAAGGTACTGTTGCTGCCAGTTTGCTTTTTCAGGTTCCCTTCACAAAAACGGCTCGACTGAAACATCGGAGTAGCATGCTGCGTCTCGATGTCAGGGGCTGCGAATGATCAAGCTCGAGTTGAGTTGTTTGGGTGAGGAGTGGAGGGCCCTGAAGGGCCAAAACCCTAAAGGCTGCTGGCTCATGGACTCTGGCTCTAACCTGCTTCAGGGCTCCGAAATCCGAAGATGAGTGAAGAGCTAAAGATCAACTAAGCCCCCGTATCCCGAACCCATGGAGAATGACAACAAGAGGTGGTCATTGAGAACACGCCAAACTACGAGCTATTGGTCTGAATCCTTGGGCCAAGGCAGCAGAAGGGATCAGTGTGCAATGACATTCGGGGTTTGTGGTTTGACGCTAAGTGTCCCAAGCTTAGGGCATAGGGCTTAGGAATTCAGGGCCTTGAGTTTGTGCCCATCAACGCCTGCCAGTCCGGCATTGCGCTTTGAGATCTGGGAGTGGGGATTTATCTGTCTGCTAAACGATCGCATCAAGCTGGGAACGGTAGCCCTTCGAAAAAGATGGAGGATTCTAGGCTCTTGCTTTTGCTCTTCGAGGCCAACAATGCTTCAATCATTGTGGCACCTAAAGCCGAAACAACACAAGAGGTAGCGTTAGGCTCAGGCTACGCGTTTACGCAGAGCGTGCTGGTTGTCTGTCTCAGAGAAACCTGAAGGAACCCAGCGAACCCATCATCGTTCAGTCGGATTAGATTCGGCATCCCCCCAAAACTGGAACCCGAGCTATGTCGCAAGACCCGTCGCAGTCACAAATGGGGGAAGTCCTGAATTCTTTGAGATGTTCCCCTTCAACAAGCGTCTGGAGTGCCCAGTCTAGCATTCCACCCTGCCAAACGATCACTCTGACACCGGGCTTAAGGCCGTGCGAATAAACGTCCTCAAACATACATCCCGAAACCGATGCCGTATATCAAGCCTCGGAGCCTCTGCGCTAGGCACCCGAAGTCTGCGTTTCTTTCTCAATTGGCTTCAGGCTTTTGGGTGGCAGAATTCAGGGGTCAGGTTCTAGACCAGAGCTTATGGCCTGAGGTTTCATTCTTGGGATGGGCTTCAGGGGGTTGTCGTCGTGGGGGCAGGGAGGTCGGAACCGATGCCAGTCCCTAAACCGCAAAACAAAATTCCGATACTCCCCTTAGAACCGTAAACAAAAAATGTGTTCAATATTCTCTTGGGTTTTATATGATGAAAAATGAAATCCTAAGGAGACCGTAGATTCTGAGCACCGGAGCGAAGTCCCAACCTTTGAGTTTTCAAGGCCGCAAGAATGGCTTTGGGTTGGGGTTTGGGAGCTTACGGTTTTCGGATCTCAGCGCGGTGCCGTGCCCTCATCGAGATGGGGCATGCCAAAGTTCATCTCCGGCCTCATGATGTTACAAACCGGTAAACGCCCCAGCCTCCCCCTCCCTTGGGCGCATAAAACACCAGAGAGACGGGTAGGGTACGAACCTCGGGCCAAGGGGTAGGCTCAAAACTGTCGGGCTTCATGGAGGCCTTCAAAACATTTACGTGTTCCAACCACTGAGATCTTGAATCTGTTCCAGGCTCCCTTGGAGAGCCTTGGCGAGATTGAGGTGACGGTGGTGGGGTGAGGGTGCTCAAGCAGCCCAATACCCCGAAGGGAAACAACACAAGAACCGATGAAAGCGTACACCTGCGAAGCCCTAAAGCCTACATCTACATCTTACTAATACGAATAATCAGTATAACAGGAATGAGTAACAATAATACGAATAATGACAAGAAAACGAAAATAATACCAACAATCACAAGACTAGGCATATTAGTGATAATAACAACAATAATACTTATAACAAAGCCACGTGTCCGGCCCCGTGCGCACATTTAAATTGTAATCCTACACCATCTTGCCAAACCCTACAAAATCTACCCTCCCACCTATGAAACATGGCCTAAACCTCCACAAGGTTGGTTCCTTTTGGTGGGGCCGAGCTCTACATGAGCTACTGTCAAGACTAGTGACACGGGATCGCTCCGTAACAGAGGTCGTCAACATGCAGCCTTGATCAAAAAACCTTTGTCCGTCGGCAATACGCCCAATTGATGATCTTGACTCTGAATTACAAGCCAAGCTCGCAACCAAAGCCGACACCCTAAACTTCAACATTAAGTTCCTAAACCCGAAGCCCGAAACCTAAACTACTATATAACCAGATCTAAACGAGAAGCGACACACAGCCCAAAGCCCCAATGGCAAAGTTAGAGCCATTTCAAGCGGCCGGTCGTTGGAAGCTTTGACGGAGGCAACCTTGGGTCTGTAGATTCCGCTCCTGACAAAAGAAGCGGGCGAGGGTTTCGTGCGTGGGTTCCGGTTGTAGAGGTCTTTGTGCCTTCTGCATTGCTTCACCGGGTTGCTAGGATTTGGGGGTCTGGTGTTTCCGGTTTGCAGTTGCGAGATTAGGTTCGAGCCCTTACCCCTCATGACCCAGCTAAATTAGGGAACGTTTACCACAAACGGACAGAAGGCGGGCTCGGAAGGACAAAGAGCTCTGAAGTTTAGGGCCATAGGCCGGGCACCTTCAAAAGGCCCGCGAGTTTTGGGCTCCGCTGTTGCATAGATTGAATAACCCAAGAACCATCAAAGGGCGTGGGACACGATGGTCTCAAACTGCAATACTAAGCTGCCTATAGATAACTTGCAACCAGCATGTGGGGGAAATCGTGTCGAGTCTTGAAGTTGCTGGTGAGATTGCGGCTTGATGTCAGAACGCCTGGCACCAATTGAACCTTAAGAACCAACATTCAGTCTAGCACATGTAGAGAAGCTTCTGCTCTACATCGAACTTTGGCTGGAGGGACAAAGACAAATGTGTGCATGCATGTACTCCAGGAGGTTGTTCATCATTCGTCTTCTGGAAACAAATGATCCCCGTCGAAACTACAGGCCTCTTGTATATGCCCGAGTCAGAAACCTTCGGGAT